TTTTCCCCAAAATGGTTCATCAATTCCCATCAACTACAACAAGAAGGTGAAATCATATCTGAGCTACCTGTGTTTGATTAACAATATTCATTGGTAATAAGAGTTTAATGAATTTTAATTTGTAAAATACTCAGTTTCCTCTCATAGTTTTGGAGGGACCAATCATGTATGAAGTGCATCAAAAGATCAATTCATGGATGTACCAGGTAAGAAAACATATGTTAAAGGAATTCAGTAGGCTTCTTCTTTAGCTATATCGATAATTTTACCAATTTCTTTTTAGTATGCAACTTTATAGTTTGCAAATCATGTATTGTATCAATTAAGAATGCATCTATATTTTAAAACATTAATTTCCAAGTTGCAAAAAGCTAATATCATTTTTCTTGCATCTATTTTCATCTTGTGGTATATAGGAAGTGAAATTTTAGAAAAGGCCTCCATGGGATCTACATTAGGTTGTGTAATACGGTGGGAGAATTGACTTGGGTGTTTTGTGTTTGATCATAATTATTGTGGATAGCAAGAGTCATCACCGACTTTTATTTTATCAATAAAGGAAAGGGTGAAAAGAACAGGAAAGACCTTTTGAGATTTTTCTTGAGTTCGGGGGGTAGGTTATGAAAAGGGAAGGTGTTAGCACCCTTTCCATCCGTAGTTATCTAAGGGCTCTTAGTTGCTAGCTCACTTTGAAATGCTTTGTTTTGAAATGTGTTTGTAATATTTTTTGAGAGTATTTTTGAAAGTGCCTTTGTTTATGCGAACTTTGTAATGATTCTCGTCTCTATAAGAATTTATACAAAGTGTTGACTTTTGAGAATATTTCATTTGAAAGTGTTAATGTTTTTGAAAGATGTTTTGAAATGTTGTGAGCAAGCAACTATGAACGTTCTACCTACTCAAAAAGTCTTTGTTCATTTCCTCCTCCTTTAGATATTATTATCTTACCATTGATTGATAAGAAGCCTTATCATTGGATGTGAAGGGACTGACGTGGGTCATTGTATAGTCATAGAAAGCAACATTGTAGGATACCTTAGCAGTTTTTATAAGGGTCTAAGATCATTTATAAAGGCAACATTTGAGGGGTCATTGAGGGACTATGATCTTGTTTTTGCTAAAGTATCCCACGTTTACGTAACACGACTATTTTCATCTTAGGCAACAAGTGAGGTCAACCATAGAGGTGCAAATGTGTAAAGTGTTTGTTTTCATGCTCTTTATCTTTGAATTAGGGTTTTCTATTTGTTGATTTTATGTTTTGCCATACAAACCCTAATTACTAGCATTTATATTGAAAGTGATAAATTACGGAAATGTAAAATTCTACGCTATTACATTATTTGGGGATGGGGGTACACGTTTACAAATGGGGGAAATAAAAGGAATTAAACCTAATTACTATTACAATCATATTGAATATGAACAAATAATATACAAACATGTAAGGTAATATGCAAGGAAAAAGAAATTCCTTTTGTTTGAGCTTTTGAAAGGTTTTAATTCTAATTAAGCTAAATGAAAATAGTTAATTAGTCTAAGTTCTTTAAGAAAACAAATATCTTTAGGGTTTTTATGAAAAGGTTTTTGATTTAATTAGTTAAACCTAAATGAATGACAAAAGTTGATTAATTAAATTCCCAAGTTCTAAATTATTTAAATATAAAAAGGAATTTAAAATAAAACTATGTCTAAGATGATTTAATTAAGAAAAGAAATTTATATTCAATAAAAGAAATAAAAAAATGTAGAAGGGGATATTTGATTCCAGGGGCTGCCACGGTTGGGGGAGGATGATATACAGTGGTTGTTGAAGGAAGGCACCGTTACCCAAAAATTGGTGGACTGCTGCTAGAGGTGGGGACATAGAATGGTGAAAAGTAGTGACCATAAGGAATGTAGTTTGGAGGGTAATGGGATAAATGAACCGCACTCGGCCGGAAGACTGGGACAGGTTGCTGAGTAACGGCTATTGTACTTTGCATCAGTCCTGCAGCTTGAGTTGTAAAGTGGGGTTTGACCTGCAGTGGACAAGATACCCTGCAAATAGAATATGATTATTTTACTAGATGTTGTTATTTATAATAAAAAAAAGATATAAAACTTTATTGAGACTTGAGTGTTAAAATTAATCATGGAGTTTCTTATTGTAGTAGTCAAGAATTATGAATTTTTAAAGGACAAATGTAAATGCGGCAGACAGATTTTTAACTCAACCTATATGGTATTGATGCAAACCTCTTGAGGAGATTGAAAATTTGGAGCAGGCAGCACCGTAATATTGCCGTTGTACTTGGTGATTGCCCCGGTAGAAGCAAAAGGAGAAAGACAGCCATATAGTAAAAGGACTCTCACAATAAAGCTTGGAAACCGAGAAATATCATGTGTCTGAGACTCAGAATTATCAGATGGTGTGAGCTGAGGACCCAACATCAGGGGCATAAAACCATAACTATAGTTTGGAGAAATATGCATGCCTGGGTATTGATGACCTTCAGACGGCAAAGCAGTATCTTACTTGGACTCATTAGACTCCTGAATAGCACTGGATGATCCATCAACCTCACCCGATTCTAGATTCATAGGCGTGTTATTGGGTGAAAGTGGATGGTCAGGATAATCTTCCACCTTGGACGTAAGCATACCATTTTGACTGTTGTTAAAAAGACATGATTCATTAAAATGAAAATATTCACTTCCTGAAAGTAAAAAAAATCAACATGCGAATATGCGATCAAACAAATAAACCAGCTAAAAGGGCACTAAAAATTGTTTATTCTCTCTACTAACATGCAAAAAGTGCTTCTATATTTATATTCTTCCCAAGTTTTAATAGAATTCATCAAAATGAGATTCTAAGTCCTACAAAAAGTACGTTCCCAAAGCATATAGTTGAGCATTACAAACCTTGAATCCTGCTCCTCCACAGTTTCTTCAATATTCTGATAAGTTTCAGAAAGTGGCGTGGAATTGGAACTCTTTTCACTATCTGGGCCACTAACATAGCTTGTTGTATCGACTTCAAAATTGACTCCCAAAGTTCCAAATCAAAACTGATTCTTCTCAGAGTCTGGTATTGTGATATGATTTGGAAGTATAACATGTTGATACTGTGGAATACGTAAATTCTCCAGCTTTCTCTGAAGTGTTCAAGTAGATTCTTCAGTGGTCAAGGGCATGATGCAGACTGTAATTGTCTGGTTACTTCAGCTGATACAGGAGGAGCCTCAGGTGCAGTAGCAGGTCTAGAATTCTGATTATATGTATTTGTGTACTTTGGTTTCCATTCCTTATTAGAAACAGCCGTTGAAAAAAGAAACTAATCATAAATCTTGTGAAATAGAAGAATGATAAGGGCTCTGCAGGAGACAAAAATTGTGTTGGTTGAATTGCAGAAAATTACCTTTCTGAGGGCCATTTATTTGTTGAGACCGGTTATTGTAATTAGAGGACGGACGACTAACTGAAGGGCTTCCGAGAGTTACCGACGATGATGGGTATGGTATCTCATTGCTGTGATTTTTTGCCACTCGGGGATTTACTTTGAATCATTTCTTGCACAGAAGAGCTACCAGTCTCAGAAGCTGCCATTGAGGGGAAATATTGTTCATTAATTTTGTTTTAGGACTTTAAAACAAAATAAACTATAAATGTAAGATAATGTCAAATGTACTAACCAGCAGTTATAGTTTGCTCTTGGCTGAGTTAACAACATTTGATTCTCCAAGAGAGTGTTGGCTTCCCATTCCTCGTCTAACTTCACCAACAACACCAGGAACCCATGAATTATCAGATGGAACCAATACTGGATCACAAGAAAAGAAGTGAACAGCCGAGGAGGATGGCGGCCCGGTTCCAGAAGCAACTGTTGCAACAGGATTTGATTTATCAGCAGATGAAGCACTATCCACGTTATTATTATTGCCAGAAGATTAAACCATTATGTCTCTGTTTCCAACAGGTGGTGAGGAAGGACTCGCACTACTTATAGTTCCAGAAGCCAAATTAAGCCAAATTTGTAGGACCATTGGCAGTAATAGGCACAGAGCTGAGAAAGCATATGTATAGTTAATCAGTTATGTAGTTTGAGCTTTAAACATGTAGATGGACTTAAATTAGCATTGCAGTAACATAAAAGACAGAAGAAAACAATGGTACTTAGGTTCTAGTTGGATTATAACTTATTTGAGCTTTTCTGTTGGCATAAGCGCTTGTGAAAATGTTTGAAGAGTATATGGAAACAGCTTATGACATATCCATAAGTTGTTTTAAGCTTATATACATAAGCTCTACATGAAAACTTATCAAGACTGCTTATAGCTTATATGAAAATAGTTTGATTTTATTTTATATTTTGTTATAGAAATAACTTATACATAAGCACTTACATGACAAGCTCTTATGCTACAAGCCCTTAATTAAACTACTTATCCAAACAGGGCCAAAGACAACTTGTTCCGGAACTTTTCCTTCCCTTTAGATATTATCTCTTGAGAAGCTGATAGTTGTGGCACAATTTTCTCAGAAGGTAGACGAGCTCCACTATCTTTCCCAGTAACAGAAGTCTTTCTTCCACTAGCGGTCAATAATCATATTCTTAATTTAGGTGCTTTGACTAGCCAACATAATATCTAAGTTTGAGTAAGAATCCACACTAGAATGCAGCTATAGCTGTTATATTTCACCTAAGCTACAAAAGTACGTGTAAAAAGCTGGGTAACAAGTACCAAGATATGCTGCAAGACCATTGGTTTGAAAACAAGAAACAAAACAGCTAGGTGATACTACTACTACATCATGTTCAACTATAACTGCTCGATAGATAGACGGCCTAAAGTTGTCGGAGCAAAAAAACAAGTTTATCCATCAAAAGAAGGGGTTATTTAACATTAAGGAAAATGAATAAATAATTAAATAAATAAAAGAGTCAAACTCGAAGTTCAGAACAGTTATTCACCCGTCCGTGGGTGGCAGGTCTCCCGCATGGTTCTACATGTTCTCTATTGTTGAGGTTCTGCAAAATCATTAACAAATAAAGGAGAAACAAGAACAGAATTAGCAAACTATGTTGAGAGATTAGCACAAACTTTGAAAATAAGTAGAGCATAAGTTGATATTAAATAAAAGCCATGTCACATAACCAAATGAGTGGGGCGGCTTTTTAGAACTTCTAAAAAGTCCCTACACACACCCATATCCCTGTCTGTGTGCTATGATTAGACACAATTCCAGCATACTCTCTATTGTCATGTATTAAAACCTAGTCAACAAAAATTACAAAAGAAAAAATGGATAATCAACCAAGAGAGCCCATTAAGATTACATTATTGAAGTTCATTACTTACAATATCTTACCTATTCTGTCCCTCTTTCTTTTGACCTCATGAAATATGTATGTAAAACAAGTAATTTATATTTAGGCGCCAATGTAGCAAGAAGGATAAAATAGAGAATAGATCATAAATTCATTTTAAGTTTAAATTAGAAGTTCAGATCCAATGAGCCCATAACAATCATTCATGATGGACTTGAAAAAGAGAAGAACGAGATATTAAATCAACAAAGCCACAAAATCATCAAACCTTTACCTCTCCCTATTTGATGAGTGATCCTTCTTCTACCGATGAACCTAGGTATACGAAATCAATGTAGCTCACCAGAACAGTCATTGAAAGTAATAAAATAAATCACAGTCACATTAAAATAAAATAACGAACATTAAAATTCATTCTAAACAGAAACTATGAAATATTATCTATCAAAATTAGAAGTTCAGATCCAATGAGCCCATAACAATCATTCATGATGGACTTGAAAAAGAGAAGAACGAGATATTAAATCAACAAAGCCAAAAAATCATCAAACCTTTACCTATCCCTATTTGATGAGTGATCCTTCTTCTACCGATGAACCTAGGTATACGAAATCAATGTAGCTCACCAGAACAGTCATTGAAAGTAATAAAATAAATGACAGTCACATTGAAATAAAATAACGAACATTAAAATTCATTCTAAACAGAAACTATGAAATATTATCTATCAAATATCCATATCTATTGTGTTACGAATCGGTGGCCAAACAATGGAGGTAACCGATGCTCATCAAGGGCCTCAAGGGTAAGGTTTATCAATAGGTTTATCAGTTTGGCAATTAGGGTTTATCAGTTTGGCAATTAGGGTTTATCAGTTTGGCAATGAGGGTTTATCAGTTTGGCAATGAGGGTTTATCAGTTTGGGAATTAGGGTTTATTAATCTTTTTCTTTAAATCTAATTATTTAAACTTCTTTAGGCTTGTTCGACTGAGATCCCCAGTTGATCTTTATACCGGAATAAACCCATTACACTGGGCTCAGGGTACTCTTTTGCATGGTTCTGAAGAACTACATGTGTTACCATATAGGATCATTTTACACTTGTATACTTGTAAAAAATGAAATTAACAGTACACATCCTAACAAATTCAAGAACGGTGCTGCCTTTTAGGATGTGTACCGTTAATTTCATTTTTTAGGACGTGTAAAATGATCCTTATAAAGGATTTACAAGGATACAAGTGTAAAATGATCCTATATGGTAACACATGTAGTTCTTCAGAACCGTAAAATGACCCTATATGGTAACACATGTAGTTCTTCAGAACCACGCACCTGAGCCCAGGTGCCCAGTGTAATGGGTTTCTTCTGGTATAAAGATCAACTGGGATCTCAGTCGAACAAGCCTAAAGAAGTTTAAATAATTAGATTTAAATAATTAGATTTAAAGAAAAAGATTAATAAACCCTAATACACAAACTGATAAACCCTAATTCCCAAACTGATAAACCTATTGATAAATTGATAAACCTTACCCTTAAACCTATTGATAAATTGATAAACCTTACCCTTAAACCTATTGATAAATTGATAAACCTTACCCTTGAGGCCCTTGATGAGCATCGGTTACCTCCATTGTTTGGCCACCGATTCGTAACACAACAGATACGAAGGAGTTTTTGTAAACCCCTTGGTTAAAACTCTCCTCATGAACGTGTACACGTTCAACAATCCTTTCAGCGCCGAGATAGGTCACGTAGTATTGAGCTGCTTCGCGGGCATTTGGATGACCTATCTGTATGAACGATCTTCCTACAACTTCGGGCGGCGGTGGTGGCGGTGAATATCGCCGCGATGGCGACCGTGAATATCGCGGCTCTGAAAATCTTTGATGCGGTTCTGCATATCGCGGCTCTGAAAATCTTTGATGCGGTTCTGCATATCGCTGCTGACGCCGAGAAGCCATCGCAGTGGTTGGAAATGAGTATTATGAGACTGACTCGCTCTCTTTCTCTTTTTTCTTTATTCTTTATTTTTTTTAGTAACCTCAATTTCTTCATATCTACCCAGGTTTATATAATCTATCAATTTCCATTGGGATCAGCTCGGGGCGATGCATGTATAAATTAATTTTGCCCAAGAAGTATCTTCTTTCATCACGTTTATATTTTAAAATTCTTTCAATAATATAGAATTATATTAGTTTTTTTATTGAATGACACCATAGTGACGGGGTGACCGTCATGGTACTTGAGACGGACTTCTTGTCCAAGTTATAGTTTGTGTGGGAACTAGTAATAAGTAAGGTGACGACTGTCAACCTAGCGATGGGTTGACCGTCAATCTATGCGTTGATCGGTTCGATTTTCCTGTTGATTTTGAGTGCGACGACTATTCCTTGTTGTTTAGTGCACTTTGGTGATTTTAGGATCATTCTTACAACATTAGAGTCGGAGATATTTATTACTTAGAGTCATGGCGAGGGTTTTTGGAAAACCATTCTCAATTGGCAGAGTTGTTAATGGCAGTGAGTTAACTGTGATGATTTGGTAAGTTTGATGAGTTGAGTTTGTTTTATTGAGTGTTGTTGTGAATTATCATCTGTCGGTGAGTATCATGTTAAGTAATTATATGATTATGTAGAGTTATCATTATATGGTGTGCTGTTTTTTGGTGAGATATGTGATTCAGATGAGAATCATGTTAGAACAATTAATATCTGGATTTTGATGATAACAATACATATATTTTATATGTAAATAATTTCTTTAATTGCATAAATTTTATTTTTGCTTACAAAATGTTTACAAGATTTGATGTATAATATTTTGTTTTTGCTTTTTACAGGAGCGTCCGGTGCTGAAGGTCACTTCTCATGGTTCGAAGTTGAAAAACTTCCCTTGAGAGTCTGATGCCTAGGGAGGTAAGGAGTATCAGAGATTTTCATCTACTGGATTTTGTTGAGTGCTCCTTGACCATGTTGGACGCCTCCTTGTTATTTGTTTTTGTTGAGAGGGGACACCCAGAGACATCATCTTTTCATCTTTAATTTGGGGAGATGACTATCACATTAGATGATGTCGATCTGTTGTTTCACATTATGGTTGTTGGTACATTCTTCACACCAGTAGTTATTAACCATCTGACGGTGGTGTGGATGGTACCACTCCAAGTTACAGAAGGAAGTAAGTTTAACCTTGATTAAGAATTCAGACTTAAAGACTTATAACAACAACAACAACAACCACCTAGCCTTATTCCACCTTAAGGTATTACTTAAATTCGAAATATTTGTTAATAACTTGTCTTATAGTTTGACTCCTCTCTATCAGGTCGGAACAAACCATCTTAAGTCTATTTTCAAATGGGGACTTAAAAGTATATATAAAAAAAAAAATATAAAAAAATCAAGTCACACTTCACCTTATTATATGGTATGACAGTAACATTTGCTGAGGGCGAGTTTTGAATCAAACAGTCAACTACTCCATCAGGTATGATTGTAGCTTCATGGAGGTTAACGCCTCGTATCATGAACTTGCCGTAAGACAAAATATTGTACAATTGGCCTGAAAGTGGTTTCATTTGTACTTGGAGTGACTCCAAGTTACAGAAGGAAGTAAGTTTAACCTTGAATAAAGAGGGAACAAGAGATAAAACCTGTGCAAGAGAAATTAGATAAGAATATTTAAGAGAAATGAAAATGATAGTGCAAATGTTTTAGGAACCTGCAGAGTATTAGAAGAGACTGTCAATGATCTAATATTAGGAAGGCCTTGCAACGAGCTGAGTAGGACTGCAGAATCCTCTTGGACGAGAGAGTCAACAAAGCCAGCATTTTCAGCATCAATGTATAGGTGTTGAAGAGAACAAGGATGGGTCAGACATAGTTTTTGACTTGTATTACCGGTAAAAGCAAGGTTACAAAGACTGGGTGGAGATATGCGGAGTTTTAATGGTTGATTATAATCATCCAGATACATTCCTCCTCTATTAAGAATTCGTTGATTAACAACATAGCAATATATAATGGTCAAAGTATTCAACTTGTTAAAGGCAGAGAAGGGGTCAACATAACCATCATCGCCAGCGCCAAATCAAAAATATGATAAAGTCAAGTTGGTTAATGACGGCAAATTCAGATGAGTCGGAAATGAAAATATTGCACAGAATCGTAGAAAACGAAAGGGAACAGAAAGGTCAAGAGAGGTTAAAGTTTGAGATGAAAATAAAGGCGGAAACGGATTAATATGATAGGTGATAGGGTATCGTAATCGCTGGACATTATGTGAAAGGGCATACCTTACCACGCGTTTGAAGACTACGTCAGTCGACGGCGGGAAATCATCACAGAAATCAAATGTGGTGGTGAGGGTCAAATCTAGAGTGTGGAGGACGGAAGTTGAATCGTCGTCCAACTCATTGCGAACAGACAGAATTTGAAATAATGCTCTCTCGAACCTGTCCAGAGATTTGAACTTTCCAGAATCTAAAGTTATGATTGGAAGATTGTTTGTGAGATTGTTCCATCTTTTGGAGAGTATGCAAGTTTTAAAGGCCTCTTTGGTCTTCAGATAGGAGAGGATGTGAAACACAACCGAATCTGGCAGATCACCGAATCTGTCTTTAGTTTCATGAGCCAACATGTTAGGGTTTCTTTCACTTCAACAAAAATCATCATTACTGTCTACCTATATATACATACAGATCAGCTTATGGGCCTTTCAAACTTGGACCCAATTCAAACTTGAAAATATTTTAAAAGTTTAACCTTTTTTTATTTTATTTTTACTTTTTATGATTTTTTATTTATTTATATTATTTTTACTTTTCATCTTGACACATACGAAATTGACAAGTGTGCACTCATTCATATAAATAGGATAACGAGCGATGCAAATTTCCGATATGTTCATTTTTTATACTGAAAATCTTTGATGTAGAACATCCGTTTACATTTTGTATTAACTGGATATCTGGTGTGCTATTTATAACCTGGTAACATAACTGTGTGTTTTCTGGTTTATAATATTAACCAACTAGATATCATTGATCAATGTATTCCGGTTACCATTTATGTAGCAACCAGATTTCTGTTATGTGGGTAATCCAATGCGATTTTTTTATTTTTTTTATTATGTTAAATAAGTGATATTTCTTTGATATGCGATAAAAATCAGACATGCGTATATACCATTGAAATATTTTTATCAACGCAATGATTTGCTACAAAAGAAGAGGCGATAAGGTGGATTATGGAGGTTAGAATCAGGAATAAAGTGACAGTTATAATAACTCGCTCAGATACCAAAACAGGCAAGAGATGAAGAAGTGATAAAGCAATGTTTGGTTGTGATACAAAGGAGATGGTGAAACACAAAGTGCTAGTAAGAAATGTGGTTGTCCTTTCAAAATTAGATCGACACCGTCAAAAGATGGTTATGGATGGAAGATTGATGTAAAATGTGAACTTCATAATCATGGATTACTTGATACATTTGAAGGTCACGCGTTTGTAGATCGACTAAATGCAGATGAACAACATCATATTGTTGATTTGATAAAATGTCATATTCAACCAAGACACATATTATTTTCATTGCAAGAGCGAGATTCAGAGAATGTCACTCGGATCAAGCAAATATATAAACATAAGAGTAAGATACTGAAAGACATAAGGGCTCCTAGAACAAAAATGCAACATCTGTTTAAGCTGAGAGAGGATTCAAATTATGTTTAATGGAGCAGGAAATAAATGAGTCAGAAGTTGTGAGAGATATTTTCCGGGCTCATCTAGAATCAGTGAAGTTATTGAATATGTTTCTTATTGTGTTGATTATGGATAGCACGTACAAGACAAACAAGTATAGGAAACCTCTGTTTGAAATAGTTGGTTTTACATCAACTGAGCTAACATTTGTTGTTGCATTTGCCTATATGGAATCAGAGTAGACAAAGAATTTGTGTTGAGTATTGGATAAGTTGAAACAATTGTTTATTAAGCAGGGGTTTTGGCCACAAGTGGTTTTGATTGATAGAGATCTTGCTTTGATGAAAGAAATTGAAATAGTATTTCCGAAGACAATTAATTTGCTTTGTCGATTTCACATCAATAAAAATGTGAAAGCGAAGTGTAAGGAATATATTATGGATGACATGTGAGAGTCGGTAGAGAAAATGTGGTATGAACTTATAAGGGCTAGTGATGAGGTGGAGTACCATCAACAGTTGCAACAGCTTGAGCATGCATGTGTTAATTTTAAAGTATTTATTGATTATGTGAAAGATACATGGTTGACTCTACATAAGCATAGATTTGTTGAAGCATGGATCAATCTAGTATTGCATTTGGGAAACACCAAGACTAATATGTATGTTTATCCTAATATTACTTGATTTTAGTCATATTTTGTTTATATTTATATTACATGTGCTTACTTGTTTTTTATTTTATTTTAAGAGTTGGGTCCGCACATTGGAAATTGAAGAAGATGTTGGAGAACAATTTAGGTGATATGTGCAAATTTTGGGAGTCTATGAATGGAAATCTCAAGATACAATTGGGCAACATTAGAGCTTCATTTCAGAAGAGTTTTTATGAAGTTAAGCATACACACACTAGTCCATTTTATGGGAATTTGCACAAATCTGTATCTAGAGCTGCTTTGAGGCCTATTGATGAAGAGTGGGTGAGGGTTGTCATTGTGGGTACAAACACCCAAATATGCGGGTGTAATTATAGAAAAGTATATGGGTTACCTTGTGCATGTGAGTTAGGGAGATACACATTGAGTGATGATCTAATACCAATTGAGGCTATTCATATCCATTGGAGAAAGCTAAGTATGGAAGACAAACAAGAGGTAGATGCAGATGATGGATCATAGGTTGACATGACCAACAATTGAAGAAATTTGGAAAAAGTTCAGCTCACTAGATGTTGTAGTAAAAAGAGCATTAAAAAGTAGGGTGTGTGAAATTGCTTATCCCACAACAACAAAGATGTTGTCATCGCCTGAAAAAATAAAAACCAAAGGAGAGGTGAAGAAGAATGAGAAGAAATTTGTGGGATATGATGTTTATCGTGACCCTTCATATCATGGGTATGTTGATCGAGCACACTCGACTTCACAAAAATCTTCAAAGAGGGCATGTTCACAATTATCACAAACCTCAAAGAAGAAACCATCTAGTAATTTCATTGTACAATTTCCAGAGTATATCAGACCATTTATTGATGATATTGTTGATGTCTTGAAGGATGAAAATTATGGGTTTACAGTTATTGCATCGTTTCATGGTTATGGCTCGGATGGATGGCCAATTGTTTATCGGGAATTGGATAATGAATTTAAAGGTCCTAGAAGCAATATGTATGAGCAGTTATTTGGAGATCGTCTTTCAGTAGTGAGAAAATATTTGATGATATCATCTTTAGGTCAGTAACCACAAGAGAAATGGATGACATTACCAGATATGGCTTATGTAATAGCTAACCGGTATAATGTCATTATCCTATCTTTGGGTTATCCTTCTTTAACTTTCTTTCCTATGACGACTTTGTGATCGGTGGATCTGGAACTGACTGTTTAACGCTGGTTCGCGAAATGTCGCGGAAGCAAGAGTCGCCACCGTCTTTTATTTTCTCCAAATGGAAAGGACAAAAGCACAGAAAAATTCCTTAAAGAGATTGCTCTCGGTTCGGGAGGTAGATTATAGAAAGGGAAGGTGTTAGCACCATCCATGGTTATCCATGGGCTCTTAGATACTTGCTCATTTGTTTTCAAAATTGTTTGTTTGCTTTTCAATGTGGGTTTAAAAAGTTTCTTTGAAAAAATTTCAGATCGACTCATACGTCAGAGTGTTTGAAAAGTTTGTTTTGAAAGCTTTTGAAAAGTGTCAGTGTGAAAAGTCTTTTTGAGTTTGTTTTGAAGAGATCAAGTATCCTTGAGAACCTACCTACCCTAAGGAATTCGTCTGTGTAAGAGTCCTTAAAAGTAGTGCCATCCCACCATTGAGAGGTAGGTAGCACCACCGTTGGAGGTGTTCGGGTCAATTCGAGGTTCGGGACATGGTGATCACCAGAGCAATAGGAAGACACCTTAGAAGCTACCCTCATGCCAGGTTCCCGGATCATGAGGACTTACTAAGACGTCCTCTACTCGACGATCACCTTTCGAGGCAAGGCAACAGTGAGGCGTACCCTAGGGGTGGTGTGTGCGATTCGTGTGTCGTTTTCAAGTATTTTGTCTTTTGTCATGTTATTGGTGATCTACGCTTGATTTTAATTAGGGCCATTCATTCTTGCATGCTTTTTTAACAGTTATATATTTTGCGAGGAAATAAATCTAAACTATTACAAATGGCGCGGGTCCACATCGCCAAAATAGAACCGGACCCGATTTAGCGGAAAATAAATAAAGCGAATAAATAAAAGTGCGAGAAATTTAAATTACAATGCTTTGGGACAATTACATAATTATAATGAGTGACATAAAATAAATGCGCAAAATTAATAATTAAAAGCGACGGGCGTTGGACCCTTTTGCAAACAATTAAAAGTTAATGAGAATTAAAAATTAAATGATTAAATGTTTTTTTGGTATTTTGTGTTTTTTAGATTTAATGAGAAAAAGGAGTTAATTGAAATTAAATTAAACGGCAAACCCTAATTCTAGTATTGTTTAAGTTTATTATGAAAGAATTAAAATATAATCTACATTAAACCCTAATTTATTTATGTACAATTTTTAATTTATGAAAATAAATAAATAATATTATTATTCTGAGAAAAAAAAAAGGGAAAATTAAAAAGAAAATAAAAAGTTATTAAACCTAAACTCTATTTTTGGATTTTAGTTATTAAAAGAATTAAATTTGAAAACCTAATTAAAACTAAATAATTACAAACATTTATTTAGAAAATAATTAAAATAAAGATTATATTTTTATTTGGGCATTTTTTATTTTTATGATGTTTTTGTATTTTGATTAAAAATTAAATAAACAATAATTAAAATGAACACAACAATTAAAATAATAATTAAAAGATATAAGAAAATAAATAAATTGTCAAACCAGGGTGGGGTGTTGCCCCAAATGGGAGGTTCAGGCCTGGAATTTTGGCCCAAGAGCTTTGAGTTGCGTTGACCTTTTGGACGGCCTACAGCTATGTTGACTTACATCCATGATATGCCATCAACCTGAACCTTTGATTAGATCTCCAGGACGCGTGGCTAGTTAATTTTTGAGTGTGCATGGTATACTGGGACATTAGCGCTGCATAGGATCAATTATTGAAAAATAATATTGAACATTTGCCAGACCTGGGACTTGAACCCAGGTCTTGAGGATCATTCATGTCACGTGCTACCAACTGCGCCACTGGATTTCATTTAATATATTATGGTTAAATAAAAACAAAAACCAAAACCAATGCGTGATGGTTAAAACGCGCGAAATTTCAAACGGACGTATCACCAATTGACACGATGCCTTCGTCTTCCTCACCCTGTAAAACAAAACACTATGGGAACGGTTTTGCAACCGTGGTATTAGGCAGCCTACAAGAAAATAGCGATTAGCTCATATCCAAATATAAATTAGGCGCGATGGTCTAGATTGCTTCGTCCAGATGCGTTGATTG